GAGACGGTGTCAAAGGCCTTGCTGAAGTCTAGAAAGACTATGTCCACGGCAACACCTGCATCCATTGCCTTTATGACCTGATCATAAAAGGCAATCAGGTTGGTCTGACATGACCTGCCCCTAATGAAACCATGCTGGTTGCCCTTGAGCATCATCCCTGAAGCCGGCCCATTGCAGATGTGCTCCTTGAGGATCTTCTCAAACAGAATAACCATGGGGATTTAATTCTTTTACGGCAAGGGTGGCCAACCTCCCACACGTGTGCAACCTATGGCATGGGCATCTATGGCAAGGGCAGTCTCTGTATATGGCACATGGCAGATCAGACAGGGGGAGTCAGCACAGTGGCAGAAAGGGCAGGGAGCAGAACGGGGAACAGTGGATTGCAGAGGAAGCACAAGGTAAGAATCAAGAAGCAGAGCACTGGATTGGCCTGGAAGCACAGGCTAGAGCAGCAGATTAGGCAGGGGAAGGGGCTGGCACTCAGGGAGGGTGCAGGGCTAACTTCTTCTAGGGCACACTGAGGGGTACAATGACAGTGCTGCCCATTGCCAGCTGAGGAGTTAGCACTACTGCTCAAAGCAGGTGCTTTACTTTTTAATTGGGTTTGAGACCTGTGTTTGCCTGACATCACACCCTTTCTCTTTGGCTGACATGCCAGCTTCTCAGGGTTTTTGCTCCTCTGCTCTCCCCTGCTGGTGTCTTCTGTCCCCCTTCCCTTTTGATGAGAGTGCTCCCCACCCCCTGAGGCCAAAGGGAAGAAAATGTTCATTAGCCATGAAGAAGGAAGTTTTCCCAGGTGAAGCATTCTGGCCACACTTCCTGAGAAGTGGAGGGCTGGCACTGCTCACAGGGTAAAAACAGACATCACTTCTCCTCACACTTTTGCCACCATACAATTTTTATAGTGGCACAAAGGCCAAGCAAACAGATGTCTATGCCCCTTGTCATTCCACAAATGCCCCAAATTTGTGGCCCTGACAAGAGGTAATGATAGATTGTGCTGCTTTGAATGGGCAGGATAATAGGTGATATATTTCTCCCAGTGAAATGGATCAGTTGTACCAGGACACATCCCGGCACAGTTGATCCCTCCTCATTTGGCAATGTTTGGTTTTAGCCTCAGATTACTTCTTGGAATTCAGCACTCTCTGTCCCCTTTCCTGCTCCACCAGGTCAAAGTGCCAGATACCTGGCAAAAGCCATGGAAATAAGGAGCCCAAAGACCTTCAAGGATCTGGACCTTAAGTCTCTGTGTCGCAACCATCCGATGGGGATAGCAGCATTGCCCTACCTCCCAGCAGTGCTGCGATGATAAATACATGACAGGCTGAGCTGCTTGGTAACAGTGGCCATATCAATCCTAGGGGGAGATAGCAGGTGCATGGTATTCCTGGCACTGGTACTCACCTCCTCCTCTATGCAACACTTATTTTCTTAAATGCGATGCACACATCAGGCAGCACCATTACAGTTATCTAGCCCCAGCTCCTGCCCAACACATGTTGCCCTGGAAAGGACTGTCTCTGACCACGTGTTTTCCTCAGCAAAAAACCCAAGCCAGCCCTGATCCTGGCAGAGGTCCCAACAGGGTTGTTACTGCAATACAAATATTGTTATTGTAGCGTGAGGAAGAGGAAGACACATGAAGCCGTAGTGTTGGTTGTAATCTGTGCCCCCTGCAGAGGTTCTCTGACCTTTATTATTATCCTCCTAGGATTGCCCTCTAGTCCTCTCTAGTGGGGGTGGGAGACCAGGACTCTATGAGCACTCCACAGTTATGGTCCCCAAGTTTCTCTCTCATTCATCATGCCCCTTGCTTTCTCCCCCTTTCTGGCCATCCTCCTTCCCCAGTGCCCTTCCCACCCCCACCTTTTCCCCCTGCTTGCTGCAGTCCCTGTTTGTGTTTCGCAACCATAACAACATTAGCACGATGGTTGATGGATGCCTTCAATATGCTGCTGGTAACCTTCTTGAGCTGTTTTCCAATTACACATCTCTCTGCTTAATTTCATCCATCAATCTTCTGTTTTCCATTTTTTTTTAAAGATATCGACACCGTCACAGCTCAAGCCCTAAGATTTGACTGGAACAAAAAGATTTCCTGCGCTCTGTTCACTTCAGACTGCTTCACCAGGCTTCCCATTCCAGGGGTGCAATGGCAGCCAGCTTGTGGGAGACTTACCTCCCTGTACAGGGTGAGAACTCCTCAGGCTGCTTGGGGAGGGGGAAGAAGCAAGCAGCCATGGGTAAGTAGCACCATGAGCTACTCAACTGATGACTGGGAAACATGAGGTACAAGTAAAGATTGGAAGAACTGGGATTATTTAGTCTGAAGACTGAAAAAAGGATTTGATACCCATCTTGAAATACCAGCTGAGTGGTTATAAAGAGAATGGTGATAAGCTATTTTCTGTGGGCACAAAAAACAGGACGAGAAAAAATGGTTTTAAGTTGCAATAAGGGCAATTTAAGTTGGATATTAGGAAGGACTTTTAAACTCTAGGTAGCCTGTTCCACTGTTTAACCACACTCAGAAAAGTTGTGGAATCCCTGG